CATGCTAGCCCGGTCCCCAGTTGTAGCTTAAATCCTCAGAATATTAGCTCCTTAAATTTTTATTTATTATTTACATACAATTATAACATACTTGAATTGGAAAGAGAACTTTTTTTTTATGTCCAAGTATAAATAGGAATAAAATACAACAAAACAGATGTCTAAATACACTGTGTGACTTCCGTGCACACAAAAGTCAAAGGCAAAACTCCTACCAGATTCAGGAGTGCTTGATCAGCAGGGATCTGGGTTTTCCATTTGCCACAGAAAAACACAGATTTTCTCTTTTAAAGGAGAAAAACATGAGAAACTGTGGGTTTCCCCTTGCAGGCCAGCAGAGTTTGAGCCTGCAAGGGGCTGCTTGGGACTGGATGGAATGGGAGGAGGGCAATCAGACAGGGTGCATCGCATGCGCATGCACATGGCAGACAGGCAGCATGATGGACAGCAGCACCCACAGCCCCCCACAGGTAAGTCGATGGGGGCGCATAGGCAATGCAGTGGGGTGGGGGGAAGGGGCATAGGTGATGCGTTGGACAGCCATGGGGTTGTGGGGGGAGGAACATGCCCAAACAGATCTCTGCACCCACAGGAGGCATGGGGCTGCAGTGTGGCTGGACTGGAACAGGCAAGAGCCACCTCTGTGGCCCACTGGACAGGACCCAGCACAAGAGGGCAGAGTGGGGTGACAAAATTAATTGCTGCTGCTGCCACTGCCAGGACCCCCATGCCAGCTGCACTCCCAGCAGCACAAGGAGTAATGGGCCAGGGGGACTACGCTGTCCTGCCACCAGCCGCTTGCACGCCAGGCTGTGGCTCTGCCCTGTCACCATGGCCCGGCTGCTGCCAACATCATCCCTCATAGATTATAGAGTCGGAAGGGACCACAATGGATCATCGTGTCCGACCCCCTGCCCCTGGCAGGAAAGAGAACCGAGGTCAGATGACCCCAGCCAGGTAACTGTCAAGCCTCTTCTTGAAGACCTCCAAGTTAGGTGATAGTACCACCTCTCTTGGAAGCCCATTCCAGATCCTGGCCACCCTTACTGTAAAAAATTTCTTCCTAATGTCCAACCTAAATCTACTCTCCACTAGTTTGCACCCATTATTCCTAGTTACTCCCTGGGGCACTCTGGTAAATAGCGCATCACCAATTCCCTGCTGTCCTCCCTTGATAAACTTATAGGCGACTACAAGGTCACCCCTCAGCCATCTCATGTAAAGGCTAAAGAAAACCAGATCTCTCAACCTCCCCTTGTAGGGTCTTTCACAGAGGCCACTAATCATGCCTGTGGCCCTCCTCTGAACCCTCTCCAGATTCTCCATGTCCCTCTTGAAGTGCGGCGCCCAAAACTGGACACAGTACTCCAACTGCGGCCTGACCAATGCGGCATAGAGGGGGAGCATCACCTCCCTTCATCTGTTGGTCATGCATCTGCTAATGCACGACAAGGTGCGATTGGCCTTGTTACAGGCCTTGTTACACTGCTGGCTCATGTTCATCTTGGAGTTAACTATGACTCCAAGATCTCTCTCAGCCTCTGAGCTGCTGAGGAAATCACCCCCCCAACCTGTAGGTGTGCTGGGGATTCCTCCTTCCTAGGTGAAGTACTTTACATTTATCTTTGTTGAATTGCATCCTATTTTGTTCCAACCATTGATCCAATCTGTCCAGGTTGGACTGTATCTGCTCCCTGCCCTCCGGTGTGTTAACTTTGCCCCATAACTTGATATCATCTGCAAACTTGGAAAGGGTGCTCTACACACCCTCGTCCAAATCGTTGATGAAGATATTAAATAACACCAGTCCAAGGACCGAACCCTGCAGGACCCCACTGTCCACTTCCTTCCAGGCCAAGAACAACCTGTCCACCACCACTCTCTGGGTGTGGTCCCTAAGCCAGTTAGCCACCCACCTGACTATGTAGGCATCCACTCCACAGCCCGTAAGCTTCCCTATGAGAACAGGATGCGAAACTGTCTTGAAGGCCTTCCTAAAATCCAGGTAGATGACATCAGCCTCAGCTCCTGTGTCAAGGCAGTGTGTGACCTGGTCATAAAAGGCTATAAGGTTTGTCAGGCAGGATATACCTGTGATGAACCCATGCTAGTTTCCTTTCAGTGTTTCCTCTACTGGGCCTTCACAAATGCGCTCTTTGATGATTTTTTCCAGTATTTTCCCAGGGATAGAGGTAAGACTGACTGGCCTAAAGATACCTGGCTCAACCCTTCTCCCCTTCTTAAAAATGGACACCATTTTGGCCCTTTTCCAGTCCTCAGGGACCTGGCCAGAGCACCATGAGTGCTCAAACAGCCATGCCAGTGGCTCAGCTATGACAATGACCAATTCCTTTGGCATCCGTGGATGGAAGTCATCTGGGCCGGCTGACCTGTACCCATCCAGCCCTTCCAAGTGCTCCTTAACTAAGTCAGCACTAACGTTTGGCTGTCTGGTGCCTTTTGGATATTTGTCTATGTTCAAGGTGGGGGAATTGTCTTGGTCAATATTTAGGAATACTGAAGCAAAGATCTCATTGAAGAGCTCTGTTTTTTTCCCTGCATCAACCACCAACTGACCTGATTTGTCCTGCAGGGGCCCTGTGTTACCCTGTGCCTTCCTTTTGCTCGCTATGTACCCTCGTCTCAGGCCACAGCTGTACCTCACAGGGAAGGTGGGATGGGAGGCAGCGTGGGTGGCCTGAGGGGAGTGGCAGCAGCAGCCAGGCCGTGGCAGTGGGGGTGGAGCTGCAGCCTAGCCTACGAGTGGCTGGCAGTGGGAGGAGGCGATGGCAGTGAGGACCCTACCAGCTTGTTACTCCTTGTGCCACTGGTGGCATGGCTGGCACGTGGGTGCTGGTGGCAGCGAGTCATGCTGCCCCGTTCTGCCCTCCCACACTGGGTCCCTCCCATTGGACCTGGGACACCGCTCCTGCCTGTGCCAGTCTCCCCCCCCCACCTTGAAAGGCTGGGGCAGAGGGGCACCAGCAGACCTGGAGGGAGTAGGGGGCTGTGGGTCAGAAGTGAGGGGCACCAGCATATCAGGGCTGCTCAGTGTCACAAAGCAGTGGGAGGGACAGCTAAAGCTGGACCCACGTTACGGTGAGCAAATGGAGCAGAGGAAGCTCTGATTTTCCATGATAAAAAAGCCAAAACCAAATGCCAAAAATATACAGGTATTTAGGATTTATTTTATTATAATGATTGAGACGCAGGTAGGTTTCCAAACTTCTTTAAAAATTGTAAATACATATACATACTAGTCAATTGCCTGTCAAGAATGACTGGAGGGGGAGGTGGGCAGGTGAGGAAATGGAGCTCCATGTCCCCCCCATATCTGGGCGTGCTCCCTCTTCCCTCCTGCTACTTGGGGTCCAGGCCTACTCTCCCTTTCCCAACCATTGTGGCGGGGAGGAGCAGACCTGAGGGTGGGGAGGAGCTGGTCCGCTGTGGTGGGAGGGGAGAGGGAAGAGGAGCAGCAGGCCTGAGCTTCTGCTGCTGCTGCATCAAGACGGGAGGAGCAGGCTCGGGGGGGACGGGGGGGGGGGGGGGTGTCTTACAGATCTTACAGTGGTGGACATAGCATAAAAACAGTCAAATTATATAGACCACAAAGAAAAACTGAAGAAGAGAGCCCATAGAAGAAAAAGGAAGAATTGATAGATTTCATTACTTCATTCTTTTGTCCCCCCCATCCTGAACGTTATAGAGGCCACATTTAATTGGAAACCACATTATTATAGAGCTACACAACACAGTGGTTGCACTCTCTTACATTAAGGATTCTTGCTCTCTCTCTTTGCATTTTATAACAAGTTTTAAGTACTTGTATTTTCTCACATATCACATGTTCCTGTTCCAAAGTAGCCCAACATGCTCATTGTACTGCCCCTTATCCAGCATATGCAGGGCTACTTTGCTTTTCTCCCCCTTTTTACTTTGTTGAAAGTGATACTCTTAAGTTGCTAACAGGCCAGACACTGCTGCTGAGGGAGAAACGGAACATGATCAGAGGCTGTAAACAGACCAGCCACTGGCTGCTGCTGCCCCACATTTAAATCTGGTGATGGCTACAGTAGGGGTACACAAGAGGGAAGCTGCTCCATTAAACCCATGACGAAGTGTGATCATGAGCGGGATGAAGGGATTATTTTCCCTTAGTCACTGAAAAATATTTTCTTCTTGGAACCTTCCTGAAACAGTTCCGTGCAGCTCAAAGGCCAGTCCTGAAACATAAGGTGCATGGTATGTGAGAAAATATTGTATTAAGTGTAGTTGTTATTGTTATCAGGACAACTGAACACAAATGAAAATCTTTTAAACTGTTGCATGTTTTAATAGACACCCTCAAGAAAGAACTTGTGTAACGTTTTTCTGTATAGCTTAGAGCAAGCAATTTTGGTAGAGTGTAGAAAAGAAAAATCTTCAAAGAATGTTAATACTCCTTGTCATTTCTTCTCAGAAAGGCTCAAAATCATGTTGGTCAGAAAGGCAAAATATTCCCCTATGCAGTTACCACAAACTCATATATTGCTTGAAAAAAAAGCTTATATGTTAACTAAGTGGTAAATAGTTTCTTGTCACTTTAACCCTGGGCATTTTTTATTTTAGCAATTCATTAGATATAGTCCCTTCTAGTATCTAGAAGGCACTTAAATACTTTGTTATTTAGGAAGCACTTGGATATGGAGATGAGGGTATCTAAATTAAAACTGACTTGAGTTTGAAGACTATAAAATATATTGACCAAAGACCTGTAAGTAGTGAAGTACCAAACTCAAGTGCCCAGTTCAGTGTTAAGGCTAATCTTATTTATAATCATCAATAAGGATGGAGGAGGAGGAAGGGGGGAGTATGCCTCTGAATTTGGTTTCATTAGTAATGAGTTACTGATGAAAACAAAACCAAAAAATATATATACACAAGACAATTAGAATACAAATGTGGTCCATTTTTTAATAAATACATTAAAAACAACCGATTTTTATATAATCCATACTTACAACTCTTCTCCTTGTTTTGCCTTCTTGTCTAAAACCAGATAGATTTTCCCAAAACTTCCACTGCCAAGTTTCTTCTGAAGAATGTACCTTCTGGCAATCAAGGTATCTGAGAAGGTGGAAATAGATCTGGAAACACCGACATGCTGAACAGCTTCTTGGAATTTCAGCATTGCTCCATGTAAGAGAGATTACATTTAATTCCCTAAAAAGTATCTTCCAAATTCAAGCCTCCTTAATAATGCTCCTGTGATTCCACTGATATTCAAAAGAAAACACCTAGGCCCAAAAAAAAACAAAAAAAACCCCACTTAAATATTCAAACTGTTAATTGTAATATATACCCAAAAGTGTCAACTTGCCACTTAAAACAAGTTAAATAGGCTCACTGCTCATTAAGGCTTGGGTGGTAGATTTTAAATTGAAACTTTAGATAATATAAAAGGCGCACTGTCAATTTAATAGGTGGGGAGATCTCTCTGTGGCTGTACAAAATAAATGCCTCAGCAAATCAGGGTAGTGGGGGATATGAAACAGAGATGTTCACTCATGCAGTTGTTAAAAGATCACAATCTGTTCTGCAAGAACAAACATAATTGCGTGCTGCACACCAAAAATCCCTCCCGAGGGTTCAAATGGGTATGCTATTGACCTTCACTTCCTGTCTTTAACCTACTAGTATTGCTGCCACATTCCAGAACTAGCATCATTTCCCTGATGACCTATCCCCATCTTCTGATGTGCCCCCATTTCCCCACAGCTTGGTGTCATCCACAAACTTAATCATTGCACTTTCCACACCCTCGTCCAAGTCATTGATAAAGATTTTAAAGAGCACAGGCCCAAACACTGATTCCTGGGGGACACTACTGGAGAAGACCCTCCAGGATGAGGCCATCCCATCAATTACAACTCTCTGGGATCGGCCTCCAAGTCAGTAGCCAACCCACCTCACTGTGGACTGATCTAGGCCAGTGCCCTCCAGTTTAACTGAGACAATCACATGGGAAACAGAATCGAAGGCCTTGCTGATGTCTAAATGTAAACATCATCTTAAAAAAATATTTGTTTACCCTCCTCTAATTGTATCAATTAAGCAATTAATGGATACCACAGCACCTCTAAACCCGGCCAGGGAGCACCTGTGAGGGAGCAGCTAATCACTTAATTGATGAGCCATTAGGCTGCTAGCTGTTTTCCTCTGAGGCTCTAGGACCATATTAGTCCCCCTCTCCCCTCCCCTTCGGCTCACTCCTCCCTCCTGGCCACCTTCCTGCTTTCTGATTCCTGCTGTGGACCATGCGGTTTCTCTCCCCAGCTTCCCTGCCAGACTGCATCCACCTGGCGCTAAAGGATAACTGGTAAACTAACCAGTTATCACTCCACTTATTGGTTAAACAATTAATCACTTCACCTTTCACATCCCTAATTGAGTCTAGTCCCCTGCATCCACAGATAACTATCCAAAGCATCCTAAAAACCATCCTTTTCAACACACCACAATCATAGAGCACATTGTGAAGACAAAACCAAAAATACCCTACAGCTTCTTGCAAGCAAAGAACAGGGGAGACAAAGGCACTGCTAATATCCTCCCATTGCAATGGCAGATAAATTAATAGGCTAATTTATGTTCAGCTAAGGTTAATATATTTAAATCCACTTATTTCAAGAAACCTTCCTGTCTCTCCTTTCTCCTTCTCACTAATAATATTTTCTCAATCACTCTCCTGAGACTCATTTGTTTTTGTATTTCTTGTTTTAATCCCTAATTCTGCAGAATTAAGAACTAAAAAGGCACCCTTCTGCTGACGTGATTTTCAATTGTAAAACAAGGATTACAGATTATAAACTGTTGGAGATAGGAGCCATGTTCCACTTCCCATATCTAAAGCATCATTAGTGTTCATAATGCCATATATATTTTTTTTTCCATAATAAAGACCTTCAGGATCCTCTGAAGTGAAAAGAGTTAACATGAGATCTTGTTAGCATTATAACTTCACATAGGAAATCAAAAAATGTCTTCAGGAAGGTAACCACCATTTAATTCGTTAACAGCAGCATCAAAATGTTTTGTGTATATAAAAATCTCACTTACTGGGTGAAGTGAAACAAGAATATTTAATTGTAAAGGCTGCATAATACCTGGCTGCAAGCAGCAGTTTTCTGTATCTAGCCATTCCAGCACCAGATTATGATTCTGTATTTTATAGTAATATTTTGCTTGCATGAAACTATTGTAAACACCCATCTGCAGAAATGCTAACATATTCAGAGCCAATGGGTTTAACTTGGCATTGTTACTACAGTATGAAATGCAGCCAACTTCTAATTACTGTAAGTCATTTTCATAATGGTGCAAATTATGTACCATCTTTTCTTCTAAAAAGTAAAAACATTAAAAAGAACATCCCTTTGATTCTATATCCTCCTTCAAATACCAACCATGACAAAAATTAGTTCTGTAAAGCAAAATGTAGCAAAGTACAATGGTTAAATAATCTACTATCTGTATAATTCCTAATCTGTTTTACAAAGCATGAAAGGACACTGTTTAGGTGGGCAGGGGAAAAAAAAGTTAAATGCTAAATTTCTGTCCCTATAAATTCTACATATTTTCAGTGAGTTTTTCTCTTGACAAGACAATGTTTCTATGCTATTATTTTGCAAAATAAAGTCCTACATGGAATATTTTTTTGAAAAGATGAATATTTAAAAATAATAAACAAACATACAGGAACGATAGAGAAAAGCCCAGCAACTCTCAGGAGATTCAGCAACATAACTCAGTTTCTCTCTCAAGTAACTGCATAGCCACCATTATTCTCCAAATGCTTCACAATTTTTCATGATGCAATTTTAGCTACTGGACTGGGACGCATGATTGTACTTCCATCCCCACCTCTGCTACGCACCTGTTAGGTGCCCTAAAACAAGACACTCCACCTCTCTGTGGCTTGGTTTCTCATGCGTAAAATCGAAATAAAGATTCTTTCTCTGTAGAGTGCCTTGAAATCTACAGATGAAACATGTTGTGGAAGACGCCTATGAAGTACTTTAGTATAGTGTGCTAGTATCTACAGCCTCTTTGAGAAAAGCATGGTCTAGGGATCTGAACAAAAGACAAAGTCTAAGTTTTCAACACAGCTAAGTTTTAAACAAAGCTCTAACTTCTCCCGTGTCTTTGGGTATGTCACAAGCTCTGTTTCTCCATTTATAAAATGAGGCCAATATCTTTTCTTTACCTGCCTCCCTTGGGGCTGATGAATAATTAATGTATGAAAAACTGTTTTAAAATGAAAAAGTTCTGCTTTCATGGGTATCTCTTTCTTTCATAAAGAACACCCATAGAAACAGCTGGGAGCCAGGGAGAAGCCAGCAGCACTAGTAAACCACCAGCACCTTGCAGTCCATAGTTACACTACATCACGATCAGCTTCTTAAGTGGGTATATTTTATGTGAGTATACTTTAGCAAAGACTACTTGAGTGCCACAGAAATCTTCATAATTGTTATATTGTTCAGGTTGTGACACAGAAAGACCAGACAGTCAAAGCTTGCGTGCAATCAGCAGCTTAATCTACTCTGACTTTCTCTCATCACCTCTTTCTATGTATTCTGCACAAAGGGTCAAATCATGACATACCCTAAAGCCGTTATAATGCCCTCTTACCACAGGAAGGGCAAAGAATGGGTAAAATGTCTCTTCAGGGAATTCCACTAGGCAAGAATGGGTCCAGAATAGGGGAATGGGTCCCCTATAATTCCATCCTCACAGCTGTCAGGACCTGAGGCAGTAAGAGTTTGGTGAGGGAAAGAAGTGCCCAAAATACACTGCAAGGCAGTACAGAGACATCCTGAACAGTTCTAATCAATCCAGAAGTCACAACTGTCCAGAATCAGGAAGATGCGAAGGGTGGCTCAAGTCCTCTGTCCATCATTTGCCCTCCACAAAATATGATTTTTGTGCTGCACTTGATAAAGTGAACATATGAATCCAGCACATAATTTCAGCCCTAAGCTTAAATTCCATTCGCTCTTAATCAGTGTTTTGCACCAAGGCTGAGGTATCCAAGTGTTGCTAGTAAGAACACAGGGCTGAAAAGGAATTTCTGAGTCATCCACTCCAAGTAATCATGCTATATAATTCCCTTCACTTATATATCAAATACATTTAAGATGGATCTTAAGTTTCTTACTCCTCATTACACCTGTGGGAAGGTTGTTCCAGAACCTCATTGCTGTAATGGTAAGGAACTTTATTCTAATTTCCAACCTAAGCTTATTATGGAACTCATTTGTTCTTGGACCTCACCTGATACTTCCTAATACCACAAGCCATGCTTTCACTGGCACCACTAGTGAGAGTGACAAAATAGCCCATCCCCTTCCAGTTCAAGAGGTAGCATGTGTTTAAGGGTACCACTGCCACTCATGTTAAGTTTGCAATGTAGACCTGGTCATATTTGCCCTTTTCAATTGCATCCCATCAATGGCTTAGTCACAATCTGTGGTCCACTAACATACCCATGGCTTTCTACTTTTTTTCCTCATTTCCAACTGACAAGCTTCCCATTTATAGCACAAGTCCCTAAGGATATATCATCTTGCATATTATACTAGTAAATTTAATCCTGTTTCTATTACTCTAGTCCTCAACATCATTCATTTCTTCCCACATAATAGTCTGATCTTCCTCTGTATTGATAATACTTCTTAACTCTATATTATCACCATATTTCATTAGCATACTTCTACTTGTGCCAAGATCCTTAGTGAAAATATCAAATAAAATTGGTTTCACCCTGAAAAAATCCACTCAATTTCCTTTTCAGTGGAACTGACTGTCATCTTCCCTTTTTCCACTATTTTATCCTCCATATATTTCTGGTACTGATCCCCATATTCTCCATTTCAACTAGTAATTTTCCACAAAACAGTGCATCAAATGTTTTACTAAAGTCCAGATACATTAGCTCTATGACTTTTGTCCTGTGAAAGAGTGAATTATCTTATTAAAGATATCAGATAAGGCTGGCATAATCTATCTGCAGTAAACCCATGGTGCCTGTCCCATTTATGACTTTAATTATTCTTTCCTTCAAAACTTATTCTGAAGTCTTGAATACTATTGAGATCAGACTAATGATACTGCAGTTGCCTGGATCATTTTTCTTTTCTTAAATATAGGCTTTTTTCCCCCCCCCATGCTCAAGTCATAATAAGTCTTTCTACAATTTGAGGGATTAATTAAAAGCTCTTGCTACCATACTTGCAGTCTCTCATGTTAGTTCTTGCAGTATTTTGGAATAAAGCTTAACAAGTCCCCACAACTTGAGTCCACTAAACTCTTTGAATATTGCCTTTCCCCTAGCTAGAATAATTTCTACCTCCACACACACATTCCTATTAGCCTTTGATTTTCTGTGTTCTACAGTGTCCTCAAGGTGGAGGCAAAGTTAGTTTTCACTCTATATATGGATCACCTTTATTCTCCACCCCATCTTTACTATAGAGCCCTATACTTATAATGTAGCAATCCCATTTCTTCTTTCCTTGCTCTCTTCTTAGATATATAGTTAAAGAAACTCTTATTGTTTAATTTCTTTCACAACTGAACTTACCTTGATTGTGGGAAATCTCACTTTACCCCTGCACTTTCTGACCTCCACAACAAAGCTTTCTTTGCTGACCTTTTGTTATTTATACACGCTCTTTTTATTCATGACACCCCTTTTTTAAGTTCCTACTAAATCAATTTAGTAAGAGATGGCACTACAGCCATTTCAAGGTAAATTGTTTTACCTTCAATGCAGACAAGAGGGGGTAGAGGAAGGAAAAGGAGAAGACTCCCCAGCCTGCAGCCTACTCCCCACTGCTGAAAGACCTGCAACTTAAATGGCTCAGGGACTGGACTCTTCAATAACCTTGAAATCCATCCATGTGCTGTGGTAGGGGTCATCCTCAAATTGAGGGATTGCCGACAACCAAATCTATTTGGGCTTGAGGCCTATGAGTCTCACCTACAAGATTTCCCCCCCCTTTTTGGGGGATGAAAGTCCCAGGGTGTCTGCCTATGTGACGTAGGGTCTCATTATTACACAGTGATTTTGGGTGGCTCCTGGAGCATTTAACACCTGAAAATGGTTTTAAGTGCTTGTTACGTGGCTCAAAGTTAAGCCATTCCAGGGCAAGATTATTCCTGATCTGTGCTACCCAGCTCATGTTACATTAAAGTGTAGCCACTTTAGACCAGCATTTCTCAACCTGTGGGTCACAAGAGTATATAGAAGGGTCATAGACAAGCTTTAAAAATGGATTCTCCTTTAGAAGAGAAAAACATGGGAAACCGTAGCTTTTCTGTTGCAGGCTGGCAGAGTTCCAGCCCCTCCAGCTTGCAAGAGACTGCTTGGGGCCCCCCATGCCTCACACGCATCCACGCCCTGCCCCACACACTGGGGTGGAGAGCAGCAGGTCGGGAGTGAGGGGCACTGGGTTAGGACCAGCCATGGGTCCTCATACAAAAAACGCTGAGAACCATAGCTCTAGGCTACACCTTAGTGTAAACACTCCACTGGGCCCCACCCCCCTACTGGGCCACATCAGGCTCCACTCATGTTAAGTTTGCAATGTAGACCTGGTCATATTTGCCCTTTTCAATTGCATCCCATCAATGGCTTAGTCACAATCTGTGGTCCACTAACATACCCATGGCTTTCTACTTTTTTTCCTCATTTCCAACTGACAAGCTTCCCATTTATAGCACAAGTCCCTAAGGATATATCATCTTGCATATTATACTAGTAAATTTAATCCTGTTTCTATTACTCTAGTCCTCAACATCATTCATTTCTTCCCACATAATAGTCTGATCTTCCTCTGTATTGATAATACTTCTTAACTCTATATTATCACCATATTTCATTAGCATACTTCTACTTGTGCCAAGATCCTTAGTGAAAATATCAAATAAAATTGGTTTCACCCTGAAAAAATCCACTCAATTTCCTTTTCAGTGGAACTGACTGTCATCTTCCCTTTTTCCACTATTTTATCCTCCATATATTTCTGGTACTGATCCCCATATTCTCCATTTCAACTAGTAATTTTCCACAAAACAGTGCATCAAATGTTTTACTAAAGTCCAGATACATTAGCTCTATGACTTTTGTCCTGTGAAAGAGTGAATTATCTTATTAAAGATATCAGATAAGGCTGGCATAATCTATCTGCAGTAAACCCATGGTGCCTGTCCCATTTATGACTTTAATTATTCTTTCCTTCAAAACTTATTCTGAAGTCTTGAATACTATTGAGATCAGACTAATGATACTGCAGTTGCCTGGATCATTTTTCTTTTCTTAAATATAGGCTTTTTTCCCCCCCCCATGCTCAAGTCATAATAAGTCTTTCTACAATTTGAGGGATTAATTAAAAGCTCTTGCTACCATACTTGCAGTCTCTCATGTTAGTTCTTGCAGTATTTTGGAATAAAGCTTAACAAGTCCCCACAACTTGAGTCCACTAAACTCTTTGAATATTGCCTTTCCCCTAGCTAGAATAATTTCTACCTCCACACACACATTCCTATTAGCCTTTGATTTTCTGTGTTCTACAGTGTCCTCAAGGTGGAGGCAAAGTTAGTTTTCACTCTATATATGGATCACCTTTATTCTCCACCCCATCTTTACTATAGAGCCCTATACTTATAATGTAGCAATCCCATTTCTTCTTTCCTTGCTCTCTTCTTAGATATATAGTTAAAGAAACTCTTATTGTTTAATTTCTTTCACAACTGAACTTACCTTGATTGTGGGAAATCTCACTTTACCCCTGCACTTTCTGACCTCCACAACAAAGCTTTCTTTGCTGACCTTTTGTTATTTATACACGCTCTTTTTATTCATGACACCCCTTTTTTAAGTTCCTACTAAATCAATTTAGTAAGAGATGGCACTACAGCCATTTCAAGGTAAATTGTTTTACCTTCAATGCAGACAAGAGGGGGTAGAGGAAGGAAAAGGAGAAGACTCCCCAGCCTGCAGCCTACTCCCCACTGCTGAAAGACCTGCAACTTAAATGGCTCAGGGACTGGACTCTTCAATAACCTTGAAATCCATCCATGTGCTGTGGTAGGGGTCATCCTCAAATTGAGGGATTGCCGACAACCAAATCTATTTGGGCTTGAGGCCTATGAGTCTCACCTACAAGATTTCCCCCCCCTTTTTGGGGGATGAAAGTCCCAGGGTGTCTGCCTATGTGACGTAGGGTCTCATTATTACACAGTGATTTTGGGTGGCTCCTGGAGCATTTAACACCTGAAAATGGTTTTAAGTGCTTGTTACGTGGCTCAAAGTTAAGCCATTCCAGGGCAAGATTATTCCTGATCTGTGCTACCCAGCTCATGTTACATTAAAGTGTAGCCACTTTAGACCAGCATTTCTCAACCTGTGGGTCACAAGAGTATATAGAAGGGTCATAGACAAGCTTTAAAAATGGATTCTCCTTTAGAAGAGAAAAACATGGGAAACCGTAGCTTTTCTGTTGCAGGCTGGCAGAGTTCCAGCCCCTCCAGCTTGCAAGAGACTGCTTGGGGCCCCCCATGCCTCACACGCATCCACGCCCTGCCCCACACACTGGGGTGGAGAGCAGCAGGTCGGGAGTGAGGGGCACTGGGTTAGGACCAGCCATGGGTCCTCATACAAAAAACGCTGAGAACCATAGCTCTAGGCTACACCTTAGTGTAAACACTCCACTGGGCCCCACCCCCCTACTGGGCCACATCAGGCTCCCTGCTCCCCTCCCTGGGCCCCTTCTCGCTGCACCCCCACTTCCCCCCTGCTTACCTAGTGGCTGCCTGCACCATCTGTCCTGGGGGAACAGGCAGGGAGGGGTTTAACCTGTCTGCCCAGCCACCACTGCCACTGCTGCTGCTCTCTGGGCAGGCTCAGCCCCGGGAAGAGCAGGACGGGTGTCCCCTCCCTGCCTGTGCCCCTCGTACAGGCGGCCGGGGAGCTAGAAGCAGGCGGTGGGGGGGGTGTGGAGAGACTTACCTTTCAGTCCCTTGGCGCCTGCTCCACAACAGAGCTCCCACTAACACCCATCACCCCCGCCGCCCCGGACCACTTACCTGGCACGGCCCCGCCCCTGGCTCGGCTCGGCTCGGCTCGGCTCAGCCCCGTGGGGAAGGGGGAGGGGTCTCAGCCCAGCCCAACCGGCTGCCAAGGCTCCCGCCGCCCTACGTTTGGGCTCTGTTGCTAGGAAACGCCGTGCGCAGCCCGACGGGAAACGAGTGCTCTGGCTGAGCCACTAGGAAGTCAGCCCGGCTGATTACGTGACAAGCGCGGGAACGCCGTTGCTATGGCAGCTAGCCGAGGTCACATGACGCAGCCCAGCGGTGGAAGCAACATCCGGTCCCTGGCAACCTTCGCTGCCCAGGAGCGGGTTCGTTTTCTGCGCCCCCCGGTCCCGCCAGCCGGAAATAGAGCCCGGGGCAGGCTGGGACCCGCCGGAAGGATGGGGCGCTTCAGGGGTGGGGCCGCGACAGCAACTGACAACACCAAACTGCTCTTCCTGCTCCTCTCCTCGGAGCTCGCTGACGTCCCAGTCCCGCGCCTGCGCACCAGTGCGCGGCCCAGGAGCGGGTTCGTTTTCTGCGCCCCCCGGTCCCGCCAGCCGGAAATAGAGCCCGGGGCAGGCTGGGACCCGCCGGAAGGATGGGGCGCTTCAGGGGTGGGGCCGCGACAGCAACTGACAACACCAAACTGCTCTTCCTGCTCCTCTCCTCGGAGCTCGCTGACGTCCCAGTCCCGCGCCTGCGCACCAGTGCGCGAGGAGGGCCGTGTCCCCTGCGGTTTGCGCGCGGTCCCCCAGCGCCAGGCCGGCCGCCCCCCATGGGCATCCCCGGGCTGACGCGCTACGTGGAGGAGCACGGCGAGTT